AAACCTCTATAACTTCTCTCTTCCTCAATTAAACGTATTTGAATTTTTGAATCTGTTTCACTCCTAGAGAAATTTTACAATTTTCTCCCCGGTCCTTCAAAAGATATTGTAAAACTCAAATTTGTTTGACTCTCCCCCTTGTGAAAGCTTGGCTTTAGCCTAAAAGACAGCTTTTTCTCAAAATCCAAGCTACGTGCCACTTTGACCAGTGTCCACGTGTTTTATGCGTCACTTTCAAGATCTGTGCTTTCAAATTCAGTGACTTTAGCATGAATCTTTTCTCATGTAACAGAATGCATCAATTTTTCAATTGCACAAAAACTTTGCGCTAGAATACGCCATCAGGAATGTCAAAGATAGGCAGGAGGGTTTGCAATTGAATGGGACACATCAGCTAATGGTATACGCTAATGATCTTGATATATTGGGTGACGATATAAATACAATAAAGAGGAACACAGAAGTTTTACTAGAGGCTAGTAGAAAGCTGAGGGTAGAAGTAAATTCAGAAAAAAACTAAATACATATAAGTATTCCGGGGGGGGGGGGGGGGAGTAGATCATATTAGGGTGGATAATAAATCCTTTGAAAATGTGACAAGGTTCAAATACTTGGGAACAACAATGTTGTTGTTGTTGTTGTTGTTTCTTGGCTTTACAACCCGGTTATGGGTTTTCGCCGCCTGATATTTTCGGAGGTTTATTGGTCTGAAGTGTGCAGTTATGAGCAGTGAATGACCAGTCCACTGAATCTGCACAATTTCTACTCAATCCTGATTTGACTGCGAGAGTCATCTAGTAGTTAATCAGGAGACTTGGGTGAGAAATGACCGCTGAATTTTGCATACAAAACGTCTCGTTTCATGCTCGTAAGGTTCTTTTACACGCCGTAAATCTACGACATGGGACCGGCTTTATTTGGGAACAACAATAACAAATAAAAATCATATTCACGAGGAAATTAGGAAGAGACTAAATTCTGGACATGATTGCTACTTCTCAATTCATAATATTTTGTCTTGCCGTCTGATTTCTAAAAGCCTAAGGATTAAAATATACAAAACAATAACTTGGCCTGTAGTTTTGTATGGGTGCGAAACATGGTCTCCCACTCCGAGGGACGAACATAGATTGCAGGTGTTTGTGCTCAGGAGAGGAGAGGATGGGGTATGGAGAAAACTGTTTAATTATTAACTTAAATATTTATACTCCTTCCCCAATATTGTTAGGGTGATTAAGACAAGACGAATGAGATGGGCGGGGAATGTAGCGCGCATGGATGATACAAGAGATGTACACCTGGTATTGGTCGGGAAGCCTGAAGGGAAGAGATGACTGGGGAGACCTAGACGTAGATGGGAATATAATATTAAGCGGGAGTATAGGTGATAGGAGTTCAAGTCGACTGGATTTAGTTGGCCCAGGATAGGGATCGGTGGACGACTTTGGTTAGTTTGGTGATGAACCTTTGGGTTCCGTAAGCCATCTAGTTAGTTAGGTAGTTAGTTATAGCTGCTCGAATTCCAAAAAATTTTGTTCGCTAAATTAATATGATACCTGCACGGTTTCGGGCTGAGGGCTGCTTGTCTAGCTGCACAGACACATTCGCTGGCAAAAGCGACGTGGGGATGTTGAGTGTAAAGAGATCTTTGTTGTCCTTCGATCTTAACCATGAATGAAATGTGTTAATACATCTGTGTAATACTCCCTATTATCAACCTTCGTTAAAGTGCGTTCAATAATTCTCGTTCTTTCACAAGCAGACAGACAAGGAGACGTTAGTAGCATTTTAGCAAATTTAGTTGCTAACACTCCTGAAGGAATGGTAATAATCACACAAGCACGAGAAATTCGCTTAGATTCAGAATGAAAAAGTCATTGCTTTCACAAAAGATTTATGTAGCCATTTGTTTTTCAGTTAGGGGCTCTTCGGCAGGAAGTAATGCGTGTGGATATGGAGAATTCCGGTGCAACAGTTCACGTCTGTGCGTCCCCCAGGTCAGAAACTGCGACACGCGACCTGACTGCCCCGACGGAAGCGACGAATGGAATTGCTGTAAGTACAGGAAGCGGTACGACCATCCTTAAACTTTTTGTTTTTTTCTCAAATAACTAACAAACGAAGGAACTGGGTCCATGGACGAGAACGTCCTTAAGAATCTGATGGCCGATCAACTGCTCATGAAATTCCTTGCATTTCATGGAACTTGAAAGTCAGTTACCATGTTCTCAAGAGCCCACGACCGGACTCTATCCGGAGACGTAACAAGTCAGTCCGCATTCTTGAAACATTAAGATTCACTTAAATATTATCACCCATTTATGTCTTTGTAAGTGTCCGCTACACTTATGTTTTATTCTGTGTGTATTCGTCATCTGTGTCACGGTCGCCGATTCTTTGTAAACTAGACTTTCTACTTCTCGTATCTCTCGTCCGTGTTTACACGTAGTTCGCAGTTATTACAGCTTCTGGGCAGGCCTCGTGAAATATTACTCCCTTGTTTCCTTGTTATCTGTTTGCATAGAAGACAGAAGGCAATTATAGCTTCAGGAAAACGATCCCAGAATAGGATTACCGGTGAATTGAATACACGGGGGGAGTTCTGTCCGTGACTCGGATGACTGCATCAACGGAACAAGCACATACTCAAGTGACATCTGTTGACAAATGCTAGGAACTAGTTCTGTCTGCAGGGTTATGATTTGTGTTCAGATGGGTATCTGCTGTAGCTGGTGTTCTCATGTTGCGACCCGCATGTAGTTTAGTGCAGTCCGGGTGTAATTTTGTAATATTGTGTTTCCTGTGTGATGGCAAAGAGAGACCTGTTATCGGAAAACGCTTTGTTAATGACGTAAGTATTTCTCAGTTCCTACCGCTGTGAACAACCGTACAGACTAATGACAAACGTCATTATATAACTAGGACGCGTATTACATACGCATATTTAGATGCATGCGGATCGCATCAACAGAAATAAATCGTATTATTGAAAATAAAAGCGATGTAAAATAGCTCACTAATAACTGATTACGTTAACGATAATTATTCAGTAATATGTGAATGTGGTCTCAGGTCTGGAAGAGGTTGATTGATCCTGTGCTGAAGTGTACGTGGTGAAAATAAAGACGATGTGTGCGTTAAAAAGATATGAGTCAAGGTTGCCTGGCATTGAGTTTCTGGTTGACAGAAATATGTATGAAACATGATATTAGGTCGATCGCATGGTTTCTTAATAAGTTTGTAGAACTAAACGATTAATAGCTCAAAGAGGCTGACGCTTCATTCTGAAAAAGAGAGGTCGGAAATGAAAGCAGCAGGAACTTCTTACATTTATGTAGTACGTAAACCCCTTTTTTAGTCTTTATCCTCTTTTCCCCGCAGGTGTCGATGTACACATTCATTCAATTAATCCTATTAGACATTTGAAAGGACTCCTAGGACAAGTCAGCCCGTCACAAGGCCTCTACTTGTACACAGGACAGCACAACACAGAAGGAGGCGGACAAACATAAATGCCTTAAGTGGGATTCGAACACACGGTCCCAGTGCCAAAGCGCACGAGGTCTGTGCCTCAGACAGCGTGGCCACGACGTCCGGCACGTAAAACCCTAACTAAACATAATTTAAACATTATCCTTTTAAACATTCCTATGGTAGATCCTAATAATGTTGTCACTAAAGTGAATTAATCTCTTTTCAAATAAATTGGCGAATGTTTTATCAATTCAAACCTTTAAAAGTTAAAAGTAATTTTTTGTTGCTTGAGTTTATCATTTGGGGCTGTTTTTGTGCTATTTCTCTCATTATTCCACTTCATTTAATTTCTAGCAAATGACGTAACTAAGGGAAGGAGTGCAAACGATTCCGTCTTGTGTCTGACTTTGGTAGTAGGCCTTCGTAATTTTTATGTTTCTAAACGGCGTTCCATAAGGGAGAAGCGTTTATATTAGTAGTACTAGCCCGACTAACACCTTTAAAAAAATAAGTAATTTGTCGTTTAGGGGTACTTTATGAACTGGAACACAGAAGAATCAATCACACAAAATACATCATTAACCAGCTTTAAACCAGCCCATCACATGCGTTATTAACCATAGATATACCTGCACGGTGTTAGCCACCACGTTCGGGCTTACGTTCGTCATATCTTTGCACAGGCGCAATTACGAGATATAGTGTAGGTTTATGGAGTGACCTTTAAATCTAAGATATTCGCCAAACCTTGATTTTTAACAAGCTACGTGCTTGCGAGCTGGCGTTTGACTTAGTGCGCTGCATCTAATCTATTTGCTCTTTTAATTGTTTAGCCTTTGATGTACGCATGTGTCGTGTTGTGGCTTGTGATTGAGCATAAAGAAAGATTCAGTACGATAAATATGTTCAATTGCCACAATTTCCACATCTCGCAACAAAGGAATTTGGCTAACACTTTCGCAAATTCACGTTCCATTTTTGATGTACTTCCAATTTTTGGTGTTATAGGCTGTTAGGGGAGCTCGCACACATTGTCCTAGGGCTACACTGTCTACGGTTAATATTATCGTATTAATAGAAATACCAGGTCAACCCCTCAACAAAAAATTTTCCAGGGCCACTCCCTGGAGCGTCCTGGAACAACAGCACTCATTGCACACAATTAAGCGAACACAACTGAGTACCTTCCTTGAAGCCTAGCTGTAGTTTAATTGAAATGAACAGTGAATGACATAAGAGTCTTCTTTTTGACTAAATTCCTGTAACACACTTGGACGTAAAGCGCACAGACAAACATCTGCATACCATCGTCGAAAGACCTTTCGACCATTCTGCATACATTCAATAAAGAGCGTTTCGAACTCGTGGGGACAAAAGACGTAGAGGTATTTTTTCTCTTAAACGTTCTATGTGAATGTTTTTAAAGTCGCAAGACAACAATATACTTAAAACCTGTATTACATTCGCTTGCGTCTCCCCTGTGCGCAGTTCTGCCCAAGGTATGGTACAGCTAGTTTGACTTAAGTGTTTTTACCAGTAAAAAGTAAAAAAAATTCTGACTTTGAACTCAATTCCACGACCGTGTGACAAAGGCAAATTCTTTGAAATTTTCTCACCTAAAGCTCTTTATATTAAGAGCAATGCGTTTACTTCGTTCTTCACTTCAGCCGAATATTGACACTGTTCTCACCGTTAAATTAAAATGGTGTACTGTGGGGCCAGTTGTTACACTGGATAATGGGCACCTTGTTACAGTGTACCAGTGTGACCCATATTTTTGCAATAACTTGCGTTGGCAAATGATTACATTTTATTTTTTTATCATTAAAGATGGTACGAACATACAAAAGGAAGACTAATAGAGTTAATACAAGTTTGGAAACGTTTAAGTTAGCAGCTGAAGTAGTCTTTTCTGGAAGAATCTCGTTAAGGCAAACTGTTAATATATGAAAAAAATGTTTCGTATGTTTAAAGTTAATTTCTGTAATTAATTGTTAATTGGTATATTGTCTGTAATTAATTACTTAATAAAGGTCTGAATTGTTCCTTCTGTTTACTAATACAATGTGTTGTAACAATTTTCCCCTTCACTGTAACAACTAGCACCATAACAGGGCAAATTGTTAAAAACCGCCTTCTCTTAAATAAACAAGTTTTGAGATGAAACAAAAGTGAATAGGCCTTTGAAAAAATGTTATTAATACAGCCGAATAATAGTAGTAGTACCTGAAGCTATAATTGCTAACTTTGTATATTTTAAGAATAAATGTACAAAAAATAGTAATTGAAAACTGTAAGAACTAGGCCCCTTCCCCCCTACATACAGGCATAGGCTGTGTTCACAATTGGAAGAATTTTATTGGCGATTTTTAAAGTGGCACGAATATTTATTTTAGCAGAGCACGTAACATTCAAAACAAAATGGAGCGAAACTGAAGAGGTGGGCGAATATAAAGATGGGAATTGTGATCTGTTTTCTGCATGCCAAGGGTAACGCACCAGAGCAAATTCAGCAGCGGGATGTTCAGTTGATGTTCAAAAATGCTACACCACACACATCTGTATGGTTGGTAGATGTTGCAGAATCTCGCTCACAGTCCCCGCCTGGCACCTTCAGACTTTAGTCACGTTGAGCTCTTGAAAATTGATTTATCAGGAAAGCGGCTTGTGAACGATGATGTTATTTCCACAGTGATGACCTAATTATAAGGAGCAAGTCCAGGATTTCTTTGCACTGGTTTCCTACTGGAACACGTGTCTCAGCAGAAATGATAATTACCTGGGAAAATAATATTACAGTGTCTGCATGTGTGCAAGAAAATTGTATTTCTTTGGTAATAAATTCTGTGTCTTTGCGTAAAAAGTAAAGCCTTCCCTTTGCTTGCCAATGTTGATACTTAGGGGAGAGGAGCTCTATAGCTCCTCCTCCTTCTCAATCATGGCACTAGAAGGGAATAAATGGTCGTCAGCACGCCACGGCCGCACTTTACCCTCGGAAAATGACCCCGGCACCCATGGAACAGGAGGCTGGGTGGACGGCAGAGACCAGAAAAAAGTCCTCTGCCTCTGACGGGGATCGAACCCCTACCTTCTAGCCCTTATCCAATCGCTGTGCGGACTGAGCTACCCGGCTCATTTGCCTTCGTGTATTTTATATATCATTCCTCGTAGTTTGCAAGGCAGCCACATTTGGCAGAAATGTTGTTTCTGTAATAAAACATCACACCTAGTTGGCATGTCAAGGAGCAATTCGTAAAACAAATTGTAAGTTATGGTAATCACTGACCTCCCTTTGTAAAAGTGGTCGTTTTAAGTTCTTGCTGCATTTTTCGTAAATGTGTTTTATAAACTCATTTGCATGAGATATCTGCGCCATTCTGGCAGACGGACACTTGACAGGGGCTGCGCAAATGCGCGATTCGGAATATAATTATGGTAAAGACGACTGAAAATTATGACGGCGGCGCACTCTTTCAGGGAAAACGTTATTACGTCAGTAATTAAACTAATTCCATGGTGAAAATTACTTCTCAAGAGTTAACAATAGCTCAGCTGGCAACGAAGTTCACTTGTTCTGTTGAAACCCCACATTCATTAACGTGTTTATAAGAGCCAGGGACTCGATCCTATCTGAGCCAGATGAATTCATTCCACACCTCCACGTCCAATTCCTGTATCAACATTTTAATATTAACCTACGCTTAGATTTCCCAAGTGATAAATTCTCTTCAGGTCTTTCGACCAATAATGTCTATGAATTTGTTGTCTAGCCTTCTTCAAGCTTCTCCGAGATCCTCTCAACAGAGACCACTTGATTCTATCACCGGAATGTCAAGTCGATATGGTGACGAGTAAACATTTTGGAACTCCTGTTGTTAGTAGTCTAATACGTTATGACGCCATTTAATTAATAAGTAGGTACCAACTTCGGAGGATCATACTGCCTCTATGTTTAGGACTGAATGTGGTGTTCATATGTTACTTCGAATTATGGCTACCCGCAACTCAAAAGACCATCATTGACATCTACACAACCGTGAGAAACTCAAATGGCATATGAAGTTTCTAATTATCGTAATGCTAGGTATTTAGACAGGAGACGGGAAGATACAAGATTATAAAGTGGTTGGTAGACAATATGAATACAATGTTTAACATGATGCTCTCGTATGTTTTCTTCCGATTTAGTGGCTTTACTAAGTCAGTAGCCATAAAACAATGCGAATAAACGTATTGTTCTTTTTAAATGATCTGTTTGAAGTTAACCTACATTTAAAACAATGTCATCTTACTGGAAAATCTGTAGTAATTTTAATCTCCATGAAGTCAGTGCTCTACAATAGGATTACCAGTTGTGAGTCTACATGCACAGTACACTTAAAGAATATTAAATTGATACTAGAATCTGAGCTCATATTTGGCTATGATGGTAACTGTTCGTATTTTTGTAACTTATAATTAGTTTAACGCGTGTCCACGAAACATGCCTGCCGTACTTTTAGCGGAGAATATACTTCCAGTTTGATTAATATCTATGAAAATTTTTGCATAAAACTTGGTAGCTTCTTATCACTTTATTTACTAAGTCTGACAGTTGATATTGATTTGTTCTCCTCATAATCACAGTTAACTCTTTCTTTTCTTCATTTTCCAAGCGTTTTACCGGCTTCTGACACATCGCCATGACTGTTCCTCCTTTTTCCCGCGGCCGCCTGCACTTTTGTTGCTTTTTTCTTTTTTCCTGAGATCCTCCAAACTTCGTTTCTGTCTCTGAGCTATCCATCACATACTGTTTTGAAATGCTCACAAAACCAAAGCTCTCTGAATCCTTGTCTGAAATAATCGCTAGATTCCCCCTTACGTGCTTGTTACAAGTTAGATATATATGGGTTTAGAAGGCAACGCAGATGTCATTGTTATCCCAGATTTGTAGGTGTTTATTATTTTATTTATTATTTTATTTTATATATTTATTATTGACTGCAAATGGGTTTTTACCCGGTAGCAGTGGTCCTACAATAAGACACAACAAAACAATAAGACACAACAAAAACAATAAGACACAACAGAACAATAAGATACAACAAAACAATGAGACAGAACAAAACATTAAGACACAACAAAAACAATAAGACACAACAAAACAACATATCCCACTCAAAATAAAACAACTCATAAGATTACAGAACCATCTAACCTAAAGTACTTAACTTAAAAATTAATACCAACTAGACATAAGACAGTAACAGTAATGAATTACATACGTCATGAACTGATGCACTCACATTTCATCAGGACCTTCTCTTCACTTCACTACACTTATGAAGAATTCACATCCTCACCTCCCTTCACCTCACTTCACTGCACCCACACATGTATTCCCTTCACTTCACCTCATTTATCACATTTCTAACCTTCTTCCTAAAAGCACTTGGTTTACAGGAGAGAGTCCCTAAAACCTCAGCAGGTAGCTGGTTGCAGAGTTGGATGGTCCTATTTACAAAGGAATATTTTCCGATATCTGTTCTTTGCTTTCTGCTCCTAATTTTCCGAATATGATCGACCCTGCTCAGATGGTATGGCCTTTGCAATCTGTCACCTATAGCTTTCCATGCCCGATCTCCCGTGTACGCTTTGAAGAGAGCACATATACGTGCTATCTTTCTACGCTGTGCCAGGGTTTCCCAGTTCGAATCGCTCGTATGATATGCAAATTTACATGCTTTCTTTTGCATCCGTTCTAACTCATTTATCTGCCCCTCCCTGTAAGGATCCCAGCACGCCGCCTCATATTCCAGAATCCAGATGTGTAGACTAGACGTTTAGTGTTACTATTCCCCTTTTTGAGAACACGCATTGTAAAATGAAAGGCTTTCCAGGCTTTCTTCACCGTATAATTCACTTGATCAGCCCAGCTTAAATCGCTGCTTAAGGGTATTTCCAAGTATTTACAACTGCTCACTTCCGGAATTACTTGGTCGCGTAACAAATAGTTTAGTGGTTCCTTCACCCGACTTCTCGTGAAACTAACTGCCTTACTTTTACTTGGCTTAATTTTTATAGCATTTTCAACCGCCCATTCCCCAAGACTGTTTAGATCCATCTGCATCTCTTCTATATCTTTACTATTTATAATTTTTCTATATATTATACAGTCATCTGAAAAAAGTCTAATAGTCGATTCAATGTTCCTCCAAATATCATTTACGTACAAAAGTGGGCCCAATACACTCCCTTGCGGTACACCTGACGTTACTCTGACTTCCTCTGATAATTGCCCTCCTTCTCTAACTCTCTGCGTTCGGCGTAAAAGGAATTCCCTTACCCATACGACTATCCTCGAGTCCACGCCCGATGCCGCGATTTTCATAAGCAGCCGATCGTGAGGACCTAAATCGAAGGCCTTCGAAAAATCGATTATAATCGCGTCTAACCTTCCTTCGTTATCCAGTGTGCCTGCAATGTCCTGGCAAACCGTGATTACTTGACTTTCACATGAATATCCCGGCCTGAACCCATGTTGACCCTCAAATAACCAATTCTTTTCCTCCCAGACTTTCCTCAGGTACGATGCAATAACGTGTTCCATTTGTTTGCAGACCACCGATGTTAAACTGACCGGTCTGTAATTTGTGACCAATGATCGATCACCTCCTTTGTAAATAGGAACCACTATGGCTTTTTTCGGGGTTCGATCCGTAACGCCGCTCGACATTAGTTTAACGCCGGAAGCTCGGATGGTCCTTGCGATTCCTTACTATCGGTTTGCCTTGTCGGACTGTCGTAAGGTGGGGCACCAGGGTTTAAGGAAGACCCTTCGTGTTTATTACGGTTGTCATCTTCCCTGCCTCTAGAAAAGTAAGCACCTCTACCGTTATTGTTCCCATTTCTATTCTGTGGCTGTAACCAGAATAATTCTGCCTCCTGTCATAATACGTCTGTCTCACGTAATGATGATTCTCGTTCTGCCTCTTATCGGGAATATAGTTCTGGTGATAATTAGCCCTTATGTTTGTTTTACTACCTGCTTCGTTAAACTCTAGCATTTCAAGGCGCTTCA